AATATATCCTTCTCTACACTACTTGTCATTCCTTTGATAATCACCTTGTAAGTCACATCTGTGAACTGCAGATTTTCAGGATTCAAATAAAACAACCTTTATTAACACTTGAAAACTTCTTAAAATATGTATATAAAAATAAAATAATCTATGCCGGACACATACTCGAATCCAAAACAATATAACAATTCTCCATCCTTTGCCTGTCCAAATAGATGGGTTACTAACAAACACAGATTTCAAGACCTGAAAATGCTATTGGGAGCGAATACTGGGATATCTTCACGTTTAAAAACCGTTACCTTCAAATAAATTGGCAAAGTAGGCTCTGTTTGAAATTTTGGCTTGCAAGTTCCAGCTTCAATATCTTCAGCTGCAATTTATTATTTGCTTAAGAAATCCAGATAACTGATAACATGATACCACTCATAATTCACTGATTAATATCTAATAAGATTTGCTGATAATCACATATTTCTTAACATGTGCTATATTTATGTTTATAAGAAGTTCAAGTACCACATATATTCCATTCCATACATATATATACATATATAGCACGAACGAAGTGACTTCAGCGGTAAAAAAATTGTTATTATTCTTTGAGGTCCCGAGTTTAAATACCATAAATATCAAGGATATAAGCGTTCAATATGAAAATGGTTGAGAATGTTATTTGAACATATATTATCTTGTATTTAACTAAGATTAATCAAATATATATATATAGGGGTAGGATCCAACTCTTTTAGTTTTACACATTTTTAAGATCATTGAATGAGAGAAATTAAAAGTTGAGATTAACGGTACAAAATGAGTTCTTCACTGGAAAAAAAAACAAGGAGTTATTCTCAGTATTTGATTTCCCTCAATCCAATAATCCTAAAAGTGTATAAAACTAAATTTTTTTTATATAATATAAGTGGATCTTAACGCGTGCACACACATTTAGATAGGGGTTTAGTGTATATATACATTTAGATAGGGCTTTAGTGTGTATATTTATTAAGCCTTTCATTTATAATAGATACAAAATTCAAGAAGCAAATGGAATTTTATAACTAAATCTCTAATGCCTTGCACGTCATCAAGCCACCTTAAGCCTACTTATCCAGTTTTTATTTCTTCTATCCGAGGCCATCATGTGAAAAAAGCCAGTGTTTCTATCAACTTCCAGAATCCATTGATTTCTGGGAAATGTTTTATAACTAAATCTCTAATGCCTTGCACGTCATCAATCCACCTTAAGCCTACTTATCAAATTTTTATTTCTTCTATCCGAGGCCATCAAGTGAAAAAAGCCAGTGTTTCCATCACCTTCTACAATCCATTGATTTCTGGACTTTTGTTTCCGTTCTCTTTCCTCTTTTCTTAAAAAATCGCACAAGGAAGATCTTAGCAATTATATTTCAGACTGCAGCGCATCATTTGGACCATCCTCATGGATCTGCAGCTCCAAGCCATTTATTTTCTCTTCAGTTTCTTTAATTTTGCCTTTCAGACTCAAACTTCTTTCTTTTGGTAATCATTCTTTGATGGCCACTTTTGAACCCTTGAGAAGATTTCCAATCCCTGAGCCTTGAAGTGAAGAGAGATTACCCTTTATCATACCATTGAAATTCAAATCATCCAACCAATGGTTAAAAAAAGTTGAAGGGTCTAGGTCCCGATCAGAATCTTTGGCAAGGATAGGGTTTTGGTCTGAAATTGATTTAAGCAGAGCCTCGAGCACCAGGTTAGGGAACATCTGAAAGATTTTAGGGGAGACCATCAAATGATCGAGTTTGCACAGTGTGGCGTTTTCTCTAAAATTACTCTAGTAAATCTACTTCCTTTGATGACATCCTTCAACCTGTAGGAAACCTTAAATTCTCTCCCACTTTGTTCTTTCATGTTATCTTTTGAAGACTTTTTAGACGGTTACCTCCCTCCCCATCAACATATTTAGCCTTCGATACAGCGATGAAGAAACCGTCCATCTTATGGTTATTGTCTTTTTCAATCGCCATCAGCATGCCTGCCTCTAAATTATATCTGATAAAAGTGAAGGTCGTTCTCTCAGATCTTTTTTTATTCCAGTAAGCTATGTAGACATCGCCAATCTCCCCATATGCCCTGAAAGCCTCCCATAGTGATCTTCTATGAATACGCTTGCTAACCCTATCAACACAAACTTTGAATCTCTTATCATTTCCAAAATCCCCGCTCTTTTTGCTTCTATCGCCTTCATGACTTGCTAACTGACTTCTTCTATAGTAGGGATTATAGTTTATGTCGAAAGATCCGCCTTCATCTCCACCTCGAATTGTTCCTCTTCTCTCGCCTTTTCTTCTCCCTCTCTCTCCCCCTCTCGCCTCTATTATAGTGAGCTGGATCAAGAATCTATCTTTTTTAAATGATTAAGTTGGTAATTGAAGATATTTATCTTTGAGCTGGCTGTTTGTGAGTGATGGTGGTGACTGGTGAGAGTAATTGAATGGTGAAGACGAATGAGGCAACAAGGTAGTCGGGTATCAGTTAAAGCGAGACTGTGAGAGAGATGCAAAAACGAGAGAGCATTTTTTATTTATTAAAATAATATATATATATATCAGGTACCGGGTAGTCGGTATCAGGTTTAAAGATAATTTTTTTGACTCGAGCCCGACCCGGAAATTCGAAAAAAAAGTGGGTCAGGTATCCAACCCGTAAATTCAGATCTTTTTATTTTGAGTACCTGATAGTTTTGAATCGAGTAGCCAGATAATCAGGTCGGGTTATTCTGGTCGAATATTTTTAAACAACCCTAAATTACTAATGTACATAGATGGACTATTGGGATATGTGAGACAGTCGTTCTCCTAAAACTTTAAGATATTTTTATATTTTATTTTATATTATATATTTTTTTGATAATTTATTTTTATTCTTTAAAATTTTATAAGTTTAATCCTCTAACATAAAATCTTACATTTATTTTTAATTACGTGTATTTGTTATTACTTCACATATATTGATTGTTTTCTTTTATGTTTCGATATTTAGGTTAGCAAAGACTTTTAGGTTTATTTCTCGTCTTTTATATATGAATTTTTTATTTTAGTTTTCTATGATATTGTGTAGACATATTATTGATGGACAACGAGTAAGATTACGATTCATTGTGATTCAAATAGTGACAAATGAAGAGATTTAATTGATGATTCAGTTCTTTTAAAATGAGGGAAATAAGTCGGTTCTAAGAGTGACAGAAGAAGAAAAGAGAAAAGGTTTTTCATTTTCTAAAATGATTAATTCAAAAAAATGTTATTTATCTTTACTTTTTGTATATTATGTAATTTGAATAGTATGAAAATTATATTAAAATGAAAATTTTAAAATATATTAAATTATTTATGTAGATTTTTTTAACAAAATAAAAATATATAAAAATTATAAATATTAAATGATGTATTTTTAAAGTAATAATACAACTAAACTTGGATAATAAAGAATAATTTTATTAATAGATAAACTTAAATAAAATTTTGAATTCATATATTACATGTGAGGCTAAACATGGGCCTTGTTGAATTCGGCCTAATCTAGCCCATTTATACCTCTACAAGAGACTCTACCACACGCCTACATGTACTTGTTAGTAATTTCGGTACGAGGGTGAAACTAGAAATTTTGTGTTGGGAAGATCGATGTAAAATTAAAAGATTCAGAGGGTTCAGTTGTGTCAAAATAATTTAAATTGAATATTAATATAGTTTAGGAAGCAAATGATTCATTAAATCTTATACTGATTTAGAATGTTACAACTTTTAAGGGGACTAGACAATAATTTTACCGTTTAGGGTCAGTCTGACAGTGCCGTACCGGCAAGTGCAAAAGGAAACCGTGATTTAAGCTAGGTAATTTAGACCTTTGAAGATATATTAGAAGACGTCCATTGCATGTGCATGCGTTTAATTATTATTGCCAAAAACAAATCGATTTCCATGCAGCCATCGGATGACTGATTCATAGGGTTTTACCATCCAATAGATCAGTATTACTGGCGGTTTTTAATATTAATAATATGATGTAATCAGGAGAAAATATTTTTTAAGAAAAAACAACTTGCATTTAATAATAGTTACAATCATATAAAATAACAGAGTTTCTGTAACTTCACAACTGTGTTGAGAGGTCGATTGGTGACACTAACTCAATCAAACATTTAATATATAATGTATATGATAGAATATTTTTTTTTATCTTTTTATAATCACTAATATTCGACTCATCGATTGATTAAATCCAAAATGAATGCTATAAAAATATGTTCAAAAAATTACTCTTTTTATAACGTTTTAGAACTATTGACTTGACAAATTTTTAAAAATTTTCAAAACCATATCTAAACTTACGTTTTAGTTATGTTTTGATCACCCGCCATTAAAAAATTAATAGAACTATTGACTTGACAAATTTTTAAAAATTTTCAATGATAATGTGATATTATTTTATGATGACACGTTAACACCACCATCAATTTTTAACAGCGCGTGATCAAAATGAGACTAAAATATAAAGTCAAGTATAATTTTTAAAAAAATAATTGAATGGTAAAAACGAAACCACGAGATAATTTGGTGACTAACACGTAATCTGCCCTTAATTTCCCAGAACATAAGGTCAAGGTTAGTTAATTGTGAAGGATAGTTGGTTTGGCATTTTTTTTCATTTATTTTATACATTAAAAAAATCTGGTTTGACATTCTTGGAATTAAGGATTGGATGGAAAAAAAAAAGACTTTGTCTTGACTGAATCTGTCTTAACTCCCCTTGCTGTTCCAAGTCTTTGAAAATGTAGCCGGCAGATTCTACCAAAACACAGCAGAGATATATTCAAAACCCAGACCCATACCCAGTTCTGTCTCTACCCAAGCAGGCATTGACTCTTTCTTGCTGCGGTATATGTATATATACACACACATGGTTGGTCACTAATTAAGCTTAAAACCTCAATTCACTCTCAAAAATCTTTTCTAATGGGTAGTGAAAGTCGTGAAACCAAGAACAACTCCAGTAGCGGAAGAAAACTGCAAGGTTCAAGGCCTTCAGCTTTAAGACTAGGCGGCATCAAGAAATCATCACATGGTAATCCGAACCGAATTTCCAAGGCTATTAAACCCCTTGTAATCTATCTCAGCTCACCCAAGATTATCCACGTAAGTCCGGACGAGTTCATGAACGTTGTGCAGCGCCTTACCGGGAAGGACTCGACGAACAAGCCGTCATCGGCATTGATGTCTCCCATAGAGGATGATGAATCGATGAAGAAGATGAGTAAGTGGGACACTTTGTTCGATGGTGATGATCAAGTCCTTGGAATGTCTCCAACTTCCCTGCATTTCTTAGCTTGTGTATAGGAAAATAATTCATTACAAACATGTTTGTTATCCATCCTATATTCATCTTGTTCTTGTTGTAGATGATACTATAAGATCATTTGATTTTTATGAATAAAATTAAATTCAAGTATCAAACATAAGTATATATATAACCTTTAAAATTATTATTATAATCAAACATTATTTATTTCTTGAAAACTAACCATTATGAAGCAGAAAAACTTGACACTATCAAATCAAAATAAACAACAATCACAATCAATTTACATGACGTTTTAAATCAAATATTAATACCAAATAAAACCAATTTTATATGACTATCGAATACCTAAATTCATTGACTAGGTATTATTACTGTTGTTAAAAATAATATAATCGTGAATATTTTATTATCATGAAAATTTTAAAATTTAAATAAAAAACTAAATCAAGTCATCAAATAACTTGAAATATCAATGAGATTAACAACGATAACTCTAGCGAACTAACCATTGCTGAGAAAAGAAAAGAAAAAGGAGAGGATACTTGAAGCGAAATCATACAAGAATCTGATATATACCGGAAACCAGAGCAATAAAAACATAGCTTAAGCTAAAATCTCATAAATCATAGGATTCATGCGTTCGCAGCAAAATGTATTCATTCAATGGTGAGAAAACTTTTTTAAAAAATGTTAAAAATGAACGAACGTAGAGCAATATACCAAAAGCTACTCCAATGGAGCCTATACATGAATTATGCTAGTTTTAAAGTATAGTAAAGTCCAACAGTAACTATTTACATAACATGTATACTACTTACTTGCTTCGACGATTCCGTTTCCAGTAAAATAAGGATATAATCCACTGAAAGAAAAATTTCACAAAGATGAGATGTCAATATTGAACCAGATATTCTTCATGTAATATGCAACTTATTTCTGCATAGTCTATCCTATAGGTAGGCAGTTCTAATGTCAATTAGTTTTGAAAACATGGAACTCATCTTGCAGAACACCTTTATGAATATAATAGTATATTCCAGCTATTTCAACAGTAATATAGAACATTATAACTAAAAGAAGAGTCAATTTGGAGAGCACCGAATAAAAAACCCCAACTAAATTGAAAAGTTCCAAGAATAAGGCCTCACAAAATATACAGACATGAGAACGTCAATAATAGAGCCAGATGGTGTAAAATATATTCAAAACGCAACCTTCTGTTCAATCAAAGATTACCTTGAAGAATGAAGTGAATGGAAGGCTTTCAAGAATAGATGGCTTCCTCACAGTCACTTGTCTTTCAGGTGACATTTCCTTGCACAAATGTTGAGCTATTTCCTTCAATAATACCAACTGTGCGTTTTCAGTTCGCATCGATATTATTGCTTGTCTCATTGATTCCCTATCAGCCTCAAGGGCCTGAAGCCTCGCGTACAGCTTCTTTATATCGGGATCACAAACATCGGGCAGATCAAATGCATCCCTTTGACTGTATCCATAATCATCACGATCTCCAACTCCAGGTATAGGCTTGGAGGTTCCCTCATATGGCACCCCGGTATGGATTGAATCAATCGTATAAACTCTGTCACTCATATCATCTTCAATTTCCGAAGCATTATCCATTCTTCTCGAGCCGGAAATCTTGTCCGTTTCTGAAATGAACTCCATCCTCTTGAAGCTATTATCGAACCTGGGAGAATCACCGATGAATTCTGAACCGGTCTCTTTAGGAAGGAACGAATTTGAACTATCACCATCCTTCAAAAAAAAAAAAGAAAAAAGAATTTGAACTATCACCCGAAAGCCTCCTTGAATGCTTGGTAGCCTAGGAGATTGACCAACTATTACCTTCTCTGAAACATTCTTTGTTGCAGGGTAACATCCATCCCCATGACTCAGATGACTGCTGCTCAGATTCCTCTCCATTATGCAGATCCTTTGTTCCAGATTTCTCAAGTATTCTCGGGGGGTCTCGACAAATGAATATTTCTCGATATCTTCAACATAATCACCAGGATTCTCGTTCAAACTGCACTTCGGAGGTGGATAATCATATGGAAGGAAATCATCTGAATCACCAAAGTTCTCAGCCATGTTGTGAAACTCCCCGTCCGGCTCACCTTCAACCTCTTCCTCTGTAAGCCCATAACTCAACATCCTATGTTTGTAAGCCTGAGCTTCGCATGTAAGAGCTTGAATAGTCTGCTCTCTCTTAAACAACAGATCCTCCAATACCATTATGGCCTCCTGGTCATGTGCCATTTTCTCGTCGGCATAACTCTTGAATTGCCGTGCCTCCATTTGGAGCTCCGCCTTCTCACTCTGCAACTTCAATATCATCGACATGGCCTCAGTAGCAGCCGATGATGAGGCATTTCTCTCTTCCTCCAAATCTCTATTCAACTCCTGTATTGTAGCCTGTTGGCTGCTAACCGTCTCCCGTAAAGCAGCACATTCATTCTCGATTTGGACTTTAGCATTGGAGTCAAGATCCAACTCCGGAACAGAAAACCTGTTTGTTGTCTCAAACTCATCGTATTTTCGTTTCACAGACCGAAACCAAGTACTAGAAGGATGACCACACTCGCAGCATTTTACCAAATCTCTTGGAATTGAAACTGAAGAAACTTTTGACTCCATTTATCAATATATGCATTCAAACTATAGCAATCTAATTATTTACTGACAATTAAATAAAATAAAATAAACAATCTAAAGAAAATATAAGAACTCATAAAAGTTCTCTCTTGAGTCTTGGATCCTCCAATGAATATTTGCCCTCCTTTTTACTCGACCCACAAGCTACATAAATTCCTCCTGGATAAATCAATCACAAAGAAAAGTTCCTGAAAAAAATTAATGAAAGGCATGCAATTAAAAAGTTCCCTTTTAGAAATAAATTCTACAGGAATCCTTACAAACAATTCAGTTAACATTCAAATACTAAAACTTTCTCCAGAAAATCTAATTGAAAAGGATTTTTTTTATGAAACAGAGAGAAGGGGAAAATGAAACTTGTCATTGCATTTTCCCGCGAATACAAACATCTAGAGATGAAAATTCAAGCTCTGTCTTGTTTCTAATTTTATCAAACTTGTCATTTGAAAGAAAACCAATCACCTGACACCGAGCCCAATAGCCAGAAAACGGTTTCCCAAGCGAAAACCGGTAATCATTGCAATTGTGTTTGGGGGAACAGGGAAAATTGAAAAGAAGATCAGAAAGTGGAAGCCCTAACCTTTCCTTGTTGGATGTTTGTCTGTTTGGTGGGTGGGAAAGTGTTGTTTGTTGTTCAGTTTCGTTAAGGTTTATCGATTTCCGTGTCGACCATAAACGACAACTACCTGAGTTTTTGATTGAATTCTATGGGAAATACTTACACCATCCAATCAACTATCGCCATGTCAGATTATTTTTATTCTTTAATTAACAAATAACAAGTCAACAAAAATCTAGGAAAATAATGGTGATACGACGCTAAAGATCAGCTCTTGTATACTTTTTTTCTTAAAATATATTAAAAAAAAATCAATATAATATCTTTTTTACAGTTGTCTTTTAGTCTTGTCTTTTGATTCGTTCTAATTTTTATTATATTTTAATCTTTTAATATTATTAAGTTGTTTAGTATTTCAGTAACTGTGGTTTGATTTGTTGCTATTATTAACTTTTATATATTGAACAACACATATTGTTTTAATGATAAATTATTTTGTATAATATTTGATCATTTTGTAAATAAACTAATTTCATTAAATCACAATCAGCAGAACTCTTCATTTCAATAATACTCGACAAAAACAAACTTGCCCACTTGGCAAACAAAACAGCATTGCATGTTTAGAAAACAAAAAATGGATAGCCTATGAAGTAGTGACTAAAATAATAAAATGCGAGGGTGTAATGCAAGTAATTTACCTCTTTGATGATCCCTTTGCAGCATTGATAAGCTCATCGGCTGAACACTCTGCAATGCTTTTAATGTTTCACCCAAACTCAAGAGTTCTTTACAGCATTGATAAGAACCAAATTCTTTACAATCAAGAGTTCTAGTCATTAACCCAAACCCACTGAGCATAATTCATTAGAATAAGCAGCAGAGAGCTCAAATTGGAGACAGACAGCAGGTAGAGGAAACAAGCATTTCATATTCAAAAAATAGCTTGCTTCTAAGAAGCCTGCCTACCTTCCCTGAAAATAGCTTTTCACTTCAATGGATGTCCTGCTGACTCTCATATACAAAAAATGGAGATGACCCACCCAAGCCTGTCCTGTGCCATGCCCTTTCTGATTGGTTTCCTGATTTGCAGGATAAATATTCAACATATGGATATTTATCCGGAAGCCACTAATTCTTTTGATGTTTGGACGCTTCTAAGAAACCGAGAGAGCCCATGCTTCAAATGCCGAAAGCCAAGATCAAGGAATATGTCACCGGGTAGGACTTTTACTTCACTCAAGGAAGGCAAGGTGGTTCCGTGCATTCCAGATATAGTTCTGGTAGCAGACCTTTGGCATTAGGATAGTCTATCGAAGCTGGTTATTCATGAGATTGTCACGAGGAACCGGTGGATATTCTGGAAGGAAAAGTTCCGGAATGAGAGATTGTGTGATGGATGCTTCAGCTCAAATGGTCAGTCTCAACCGAGGAGTTGGAGCTAATGATCAATTTCCGGTTACGTTACGTCTTTACAGTCCAGCATTTTATTAGGCCATTTAACTTCGGTTACCAGTTTTTGTATTTTTAATCTATGGATTTTGTTGAACTTTATTATTCCTCATTTTAGTTTTCTTTGGTTGAAGAAAATAACCCAATATATGTAATAAAGGAGATACATGTAAAATAAAAATGAAAAGTTCAAAACATAAACGAAAATCCGAATATTATTCATCTTCTAAATTTCTTCTTATGGAAGAGATTAGAATAACCAAGTGTCCTCTCAAGTCTCTCACTCCCTCAACGTGCTAAAAATAAAATTTTAACAGATTGATCAAGGGTAGAAAAATATTGATCCAAAATTCAATCAAAATGAAATAATATTGGGGGGAAATCCACATACAGCTATATATTGTGGAGGCTGAAGCTTTCTTCATCTCAAGTCTATGGCTTGTTAAAGTCGTATGGCATGAAGCGCCTTTTACCATCTTCAATCTTCACTAGTTTCGTTCTTTGATTAAACTTCCGAACCCTTGACAGAATTCTCCATTGTTGCTTCTGGAGCTTCAGCATCCTCGACAACAGTCTTCGGAGCTTCTTCACTATTTTCATTTGACAGTGGAACTTCTTGCGATGGCAGCTTTGGTTCAGGATCCTTGGTTTCGGTTTCAGAAACTTCTTCACCATCTCTCTTTAATGGTGGGACTTATAGTGACCGCGGCTATGCTTCAGAATCTTTAGTTTCACTTTTATTAGCTTCTTCACTATCTTTGCTTGATGGAGTAACTTCTAATGGAGGCAATGCTCTGTGTCGTAACCGGTTTTCGTCCGGGCACGAAATATTAAATTTTGGCGGGGAAATTGATGTGAATAAATAATTTTGAAAATAATTTTAGAGTCGCCATCGGCCTTTTGGGTCAGGTAGGTCGAATACCTAAAAATTATCTTTAAAAAAAAAAAAGTTTTTTTGAGAAAACATTATTTAAAAGATGCACTGATCTGCGTTTTATAACCAAAAATTCGTTCTTTTTAATAATAAAAAGGAATTCGTGGTCGGTTACGTTTAAGGAAGGATTAGCACCCCTACAACGCCCAAAATTGGTACTTTTTAATTATAAATTGTCTCTATTATTAAAATTTAAAAATCCAAAAATATATTTAATTTATAATCCTATTATTTCAAAATTATATAAAAAATATTTATTTATTTAAAAATATCCGAAAAGAACTTCTAGGTGCCTTAAGACAGCTCTTTTCTTTGATATTGATAAATATTAATTTAAATAATATTGTTTACTTTTTAATTTTAAAATATCAGAATAGGACATCCAGTTGTATTAAGACTGTCCTTTTCTTCGATATTAAAAATAAATATTAAAAAAAAATACTATTTATTATATGTATATTTATGAATATATAAAAAATGTTTAACAATATAATAAAATAAAAATATTACTAAAACAATATATTTAAAAACAATAAAATAAATGAAGACATATAAAATGAATAACTAAATTATAAAAATAAAACTAATTACTAATTACTAATTAATAATTAATTGAAATTATAGAGTTTAAATATTTTATTTTCTAATTTAATAATTTAGTGACCAAAATGAAATTATTTAAAATTTAAATTTTATAATAGAATAAATTAAAAATATGAACTAGGGATAAAAAAATTATTTATTAAAATTAAGGGATTAAATCTGTCATTTATCCTAAATATATTATTTTAATAAAAAGGACTAAAATGAATAAAATTAAAATTCAAAGACTGAATTAAAATTATTATAAATTCAGTTTAGTGACCAAAATGTAAAATTTACAAATACGAAGGACTGCGGAAGGGATTTAACTTTTCCATAATTACGCGCATAGTCCTTCCCGAAACGACGTCGTTCGGGAAGGACTATAAATGATCCATACCGGCTGGCCCGAAGGGCCAACCATTTCATTTCTTTTCTTCCCTCTCTCTCTCTTCTCTGAGAGAGAGAAATTTCTCTCGCTTCTCTCTAACACAGAGAGAAGCCCAGCCGGCCGGCAGCCGTTAGCCGGCGTTCATCCGCCGTCATCCACCGCCGCCGGCCACCGTCTTCGGTGGCCGGAAAAATTTTTCTTTTATCTAAACGTAGATCGGACCGTCCTAATGACGGTTCCGATGTTTTTTTTTTCGTTAAACGGCTCCTAATCGGAGTAAATCTTGAAAAATACCTTCGGTTTTCGAAGGTTTGCTGTGGAGCGTGGAGGCGCGTGGTTACTCCGGTGGTGGTGTAGCTTTCCTCAGTAAGTCTCTTCTTCCTTTTTCTCTCTTTTTTCTTCTGGTTCTTTGCTGCTGAGATCTTTGGTACTAGTTTGTTTTTTTTCTTTCTCTGTATTTTTTTTCGTTTTCTGTTTCTGTCTCTTCTTTCTGTCTCTCCGTCCTTTTTTTTTTTTCGCAGGTGGGTGGTGGCTTTTATAGCCACCACCGGTGTTCGTCTCGGATCGGTCCGAAGAGGGGGCTTCGGTGAGTCACCGGACTACCAGTGGTGACTCACCCCGTAGCCTTGCATGGACGGCTGGTATATGATCTTCTGGAGTCTTCGGTTGGGATGTGGCAGCGGCGGAGGCGGCGAGGGCTGTCGGCAGCCGCGTGGAAGCTGGAGCGGCGCCGCGTGGCCCTAGGGTATCAAACCCTAGGGTTTCCTTCTGGCATCATCTGGACCGTTGGATCTTATCAGATCCAACGGCTGTGAGCTGAGGCGGCTGATCAAATTAGGGTTAGGAAACCCTAACTGGAAACCCAAATATTTAGGGTTTCTGGTTGGATTTGGACCGGTTTTAGTTGGTTTGTAACTGGGCCGGTTTAATTGTAACTGGTTTGTAATTTATATGGATTTAATATATTTAATAATAATAGTAAAAATAATAATAATAATAATAATAAAAATAATAATATTAATAATAATAATAATAATAATATGGATAAAAAATAGTATCTTCAGCTGCCCCTCTTTGCCCATTCTTGTGTTAACAAGAATAGGGCAAAGATGAAAAGATAATAAAATTTTTTATCCATTTGACTTTACTTTGATCATAATGGAGATATTGAGTAAATTCTTCTCTCTCTCCAAATAAGTTCTTCTTATTATGAACTTTCTGCTGGGGATGATGATGACCTCCTTTCTGTGATAGAGTCATTCAAAAGGTTGAATAAGTTCTTGATGAGTTCTTCTCATTATGAACTTTCTCTTCTTTCTTCAGATAATATCAAACAAAGGTTGAACAAGCTCTTCTCATTATGAACTTCTTCTTCCTTCTTCAGATGAGTTCTTTTCATTCATGAACTTTCTCTGGCAATGTTGATCCATCAAATGATGAATTTAAACAAAAAGTTGAACAAGTTCTTCTCATTATGAACCTCTTCTTCCTTCTTCAGATGAGTTCTTCTCATTACGAACCTTCTCTGGTAATGTTGATCCATCAAATGATGAATTTAAACAAAAAGTTGAACAAGTTCTTCTCATTATGAACTTCTTCTTCCTTCTTCAGATGAGTTCTTCTCATTATGAACTTTCTCTGGAAAAGATGATCCACCAAATGATGGATTCAGGTAAAAGGTTGAACAAATTCTTCTCATTATGA